GGGAAAGAGCATGGGAAGAGGTCACGAAAGAAGGATTCCTTGTTTATTTGTCTCCTTGGACCAAAACATAGTGATATGCATGAATTATTTTTGTCCATTTCCATCTCTCAACTGTAGTTTTCACCCTCTAAAATGTCCTAGTATTTAATTTAAATGGTTAGATTGATTAATTTACAGTTAGGCTCTAATGATAAATTACATGAACCAAAATCACACAACTCCATCAAGGATTTGATCATGAATGAGAAATTAAAAATAAACAAAAACAATTAACTCATCTATTTCTTCTTTCTTTTACTCTTTCCATTACAGAAGAGAGAACCAAATCCAAAAAATCTGGCAGTGGCTTTGGGAATATATGCTTGCGGTAGATTCAAAACAGGGCTAATTCTAACACCATTATTACCAGAAGATCCACCGTTTTTCTTCTGAGACGAATTATAAAAATAATATGTACTTGAACTTGAAGAGGAAGACGATGACCTTCTGCTCGAAACAGAGGACTGTTTCTGCAGCCTCTGCTTGTGAGTTTCCCTCGGAAGTTCGGGTTGCTTCGGGTTCGGCGCCGAACCAGTTGAGTTGCTTCTTGACAGGAACTGAAGCGAGCGAATCAAGCTATTCCCACGTGTGGTGTCGAAATTCAAACTGCTACTGCGCTTGAATTGCCAGAAATACTTGGAAGATGGTTTTTCTTCTTCGTTCTCTGCTTCGTCGGAGGATGCAGACAAAAACTCTTTGAGCCTCTTCTTTTGAGTCTTTTCGGTTGTGGCGGGTTGAGATCGAGGGGGTTCGTTGGAAACTTTCTTGATCTCCATTGGGACGATCTTGCCATTGGAGAAGAGTTCATCGGCGGAAGAAAGTTGTTGGGCTAAGCCATTGGTGATGCAGAAGACGAAATCGGAGCTTGAGTCGAGGAGGCACAGGTCCGATCCACGGTGGCGATCTTCGACACGAACTGAAGCGTCTTCTGTGTTCTTGAGATCGTGGGAGAATGAGATGCGAGGGCTGATTCCTGCGCTGGATATCTCGGAGCACACTTCTATTACCATGTCGGAACAGGGCAACTCTGTTTCGAGGGAAATGATGTTGTCTCGGTGAAGCCGCGAAAAAGTTTCGAAATTTATGGAATGGGGTTGGTCGAAAGGGTGCGTTGGAGTCAAAGGGAGTGAAAGAGACAGAGTGAGAGAGTGTGGGAATTATGGGGTTGAGAAGTCAGAAATTGCAGCTTTAGCTGTTATGAAACTGAAGGAACAATTATGCAGATGAAGAGCGAGGGAGATTAAATTTAACATTGTGGGCTGTGGCTCAATTAGATCCTTTTCTTTTGGCTGTGTTTAGAGGGAAAGCAGGTGAAACTAATCACCGAAAGCCTATAAAAGGATAACTCTTTTTGGGGATTTTCAAAGAAGCTTTAGAAATCAGAGCATCTGGAATGTCACGAGAGAGAGAGAGAGAGGAATTGACATGCGCCACGATATTTATTATGTGAATCATGGAGGGGAAGAATATTTTAGGGGAAAATATTACTAAACGATAATATGCTACTATGCTAAATGGTTCTGGTAATGTTAACTATTGAGAATAACTTGGTCACTGAGATGATTACTTCAAAAGTGGAATCTTTGCTTAGAAAAGAAAAAACAACCACTTACAAAGTTAAGAATAACACTCTGATATTCTGATTAATTATCAATACAACCCCATTATTAAAAATGATATTTTGATTTCTATCCTGTTCTCCAAAAAGACAAAAAAAAAAAAAAAAGTTATCATGCTTTAATAGCTTATGTATTTTGTCAATTAGATCTACATTATATTTCTTATATTAAAAAAATAGCATTGTGAGACAATGGTTTTCGATTTAAAAATAGCATTATGAGACAATGAAAATAAATAAGTGGAAGTAGAAGTTATATAGAGCAGCAAAATCATCTTTGTCTTCTCTTATGGAGTAAATTATATACAAAATGACAAGTCCCTCATTTCATCATTTTCTAATATCAAGAGTAAGTTGCTTTAAAGGTAAAGTTAACCTTAATGTTTGATAAGAAAATTAATCATCGATATTATATAAATGTACATAATAAACTATTAATATGTCCTAATTAACGATTTGTTTTCACTAAATTTAAGATTCAATTTCATTTTAATAATATATCATTATCATAGAAATTTTCATATTCGTTTAACAAAAATATATAAATGTTCTATGTGCAATTAAAAAAATTACATAATTTCTTTGGGTTGAAATTTATGTTTTTTTAGCTATAATATCGATACAAAACATTCATTATTATAAATAGTGACTAATTTCTATAAATATTTCTTTCTTAACATAATATATTTTAATTTAATATCAAAATTCAAAAGTTCAAATTTATATTTATGTGTGCGTTTGAGTCTAATTTATTTTCATGTTGTATAAATAACTTTTTTTTTTTTTTTAACTTTACAACTTTAACCATATAACTTATTAATACTATGCAATGCTTTAAAAAAAATTTACTATACAATTAATCATTTTTTTAAGCAATTATCTCTCCAGAGTCTCTAAAACTGATCTGACATCAACAAGAAAAACCTTTTCAGTTGATTAGTTTTGATAGAAAAGATTAAAGAAGTTATTAAATCACTTTAATCATAAAAATATAATTACATTTTATTAAATTATTCTCTACTTAAATACTTGAAAAATATCATTTCAATCATTTTTTTCTTCTTTTCATTTTCTATCTTTGATTCTCCTATATGAAATATATATATATTAATCGTTTCTTTCAGTATTTCGGAATTAGATTAAAATAAATAAATAACAGGAGAATTCTTGTATACTCTTTGAAGAAAGATTTTTCTTCCTCCGAATTTTTTTCATACCATACCAAAAAAGTATATCTTATACCATTAAAACACTTTTGGAACTTTGTATAAGATATGAGATTCCGAAAATAAATGATTTTGATGTTTAAGGGAACAATAATTCTTCCTTCACATGGAAGAAAGAATTTCTCCCGCATAACTTTCTTTACTTGTTTTGCTTGTTTTCCTAATAGAAAAAAAAAAAAAAAAAAAAAGATGTGAAAATCTATTGACTTTATAAGTACGTATTAATGATCACACCCATGTTAATTTAATTTCCATTCTTTTAACTGTCCTTGGCACAGCACAAGCTTCCTATGTTAATCGTTTTCGGATCTTGGCAATCATCGTCGTCATCATCATCAAGCTACTTATCTTCTGCCAAAAAAAAAAGAACTCTAATATCCTAGATCATGTTTGTTTTACTTAACACATTTCTCAGTCCAATGCATTTCCAACACCAATTCATGTCTCTGTTGTTATTAGCGTTAAAGTCATGAACTAAACGGGTATTCAAACCCACCCCTAATTGTTGAACAATGTCAACGTTTTTGGTGCATAAGTTAGAAGCATTAATGGTGTCCTGAGTGGTGGAAACATTAGGTGCTGAGTTAGCATTATGTGGCATGCGATGTGGGGTCCTTTTGAGACAACAGGCATAGCAAAAAAATGATCCTCGTTCATAGGAAATTATTGTTGCATGACTAGGCAGTAGGCACTATCACAGGAGTACTAGTACCACACCTTTAGTACTTCTTCAAGCAATGTAAACATCATGACCAAAATTATATATGGTGATAAATGATAACAGAATGCTTCTTCAGATACAAGAAGAAGAACCTTTTTCAAATTTCATACTCAGGGTGGCATGCACTACCGGTGTGAACAACAACCATAGGGTCTGAAAAGGGACTAGAACAAAAGGAGATGGTGTGAACGTCTTACAAGGTTCACAAGCACACAAACCCCGGAAATAAGGTTACTTTTTCATTTTTTTTAACCTTTGTGGATGAGGTCCACTGAAATTTGGCAGCATAGATAGACATCACCATTTTACTTTTTAAAGGTACTTAATTACTGAGATATTACTATTTAAAATGGCCAATTGGTAAGGAATTTCAAAGTGGTGCGCAAAGGAGTATGGACAAATTATAATTTATTGATTTTCTAATTTCTATTACGTGCCATAGTATACAGTTTAGCTTATTCTGGTGTTGACATATGTGAGTAGTGAGTAGCATATTCTGACGGGAAAATGTTTACTGCATAAGGTTGATGCGGTTATAAATTGGTAACTGAGAGGAGAAAAAAAAAAAAAAACAGAAGGGAATCTGGGGTGGATGGTGTGATTTGGTGGCATCCCCATATGTGTGTCAGAGTACTTTGACAGCGTTGGATCATTCCTCCTCTGTTGGCACGTGGGTAATGGCCATCCCGATCAGATCATGATTCCTGGTGGCTACTGGATTGAATACATTTGGCATCTCCATGTCGTGAATTTTTATTATTTGGATCAATCACACACTCTATGCCATTAGAGGTATTATAGGTCATTCTGGGTAACATAGACTTGAATGTGTAGTTGACTGTTTTTAGCTCAGGTTGTGCAATGAAAGTACAAGAATGGCAGCTTTCTATTAGTGAAGGCAAAAGCATATCATGCAACAAATTAATAAGATGAAAAAAGAGAGGCTAAAACGTATCCCATTCTACGCCCAGGATCAAGTTAATCCAAATTCACGACAATAAACTGAATGAAATTTTACAACCAATAACTTCTTTACTTAATAAATAATAGGTTGCTCCTGCATCTACAGTTAATGTCATCCTTTAAAAAATGTTTTTGAATAAATAAATAAATATTAAGCAGGTATTTAGATATTGTTGAGATAAAGTTTTTGATAAACATTCCTATAACAAAATAAAGAGTGACATTAACTTTTTTATTTTTTATTTTTTTTAAACTAATTAATTTAGATATACATTAAAATTAATTTTAAAAAATTTAAATAGAATTTTTACGAATCAATTAATTTTAATCAATAAAAAACAATAATTTATTTCTCATTTATTTTCTTCTATGTAAGTGTTTATATAAATCCTCTGGACATCTTTTTATTTGGAAATCGAATGGATCAGTTGAGCTTGAAATTGGAATGTTCCAAATCTTATTTGACTCTAGTCTACAAGATAGTAAGTTGAGTAATTAAAAAGATTGCAAATAAGAGATTGAATTAGATGAACTTGTTCATGTAAGATTTTTTTATTATAAAAAATATAACTCCTTTTTATCGGGTCAACTTTTATAAAAATAAAATAGTATCTTCAATCGTAATTCTATACTTAATGTAAGAATCAAGGATAATTACGATATTTCATCATCCATTGTTCTAGAATGTTTTCACAAAAATATAGATATTGAACTTTTTTAAAATGTAAGTTTTGGATCTAACTTAGTTTTATGTAATCCTATTATAAGATGAAGGTTATTTGTTATTTATATATGTCATGTCCCACTTGGTGAATAATCTAATATGACCAATAATATTCATTAGGATAAATTTTGATCCCATTTTAAGAATGTGAGATCAAGTCTAATTTAATTAACATTATAAAATTAACTTAGAATGTAGGAATTATTCTTTACTTATATATTGTATTTTATCCTTGTAATTATTGTTGGATGCAATGTGTTATTGAGTTATTATAAGATCATTTGAATATATTCAATTCATGATGTTAGGAAATATGTGTTATATATCTCATATTGATTTATGATAAGATCAAAATAATATTTGAGAAAGTGAAAGACAATTTTCATTTTACAAACTAATTTTGTAAGTTCTAAAACTATATTATATTAGAGTCTATTTTAGAAATTATCATTAAGATTATCAAGTTGTTTGCTTGTAGGCCACCTACAAACATTTAATCTTGTAAATTTTATGTTCAAAAAATTTATTCTTGGTGTAGAAGATGTGTGTCAAATATTTCATATCAACTAATTAACTAACAATATAATCAAAATAAAATATATAAACAAAAATAATCCTTCCCTTATACATCAATTTTATACGATTGAGCTTTACGAACTTGGTGAGGCATTTCACATTTTGTTGTGACATAGGCAAGTTGAATTTGAAATCTAAATACTTAGGTGAATAGACATCGCAAGGGGTCAACTAAAATGCAGAGTGTGCATCATCAATAAATTCAGGTGATGCATGTTATATTGTTATGGACCGAAATCACAGTATGTTTGATTAGGATTCTTGTGACCGCAATTCAGGTTCATATTACATTCTCATTTCTCCGACTATTCTTGTGATCTCAACTGTCCATATATTATTATCATTATTTCTTGAATGGACATGCACACTAAAAAAGTAAAATAAAATAAAAGAAAAAGAAAAAAAGACGAAAGATCCGAGTTGATCATGGATGGGGCCTCAATATTCTCTAGTTGCAGGTTGGGAGGGTCCTGGGGACACAATTTAATTTGCCAAATTTGACCTTCGTACTTGGAGGCTTTCAATTTGGATAAGATTGTGAAGCAATGGTGACTATTTAAGCACAATCAAAATGAAAGTGCTTCGTTAGTTCATTTATTAAAAAAAGTATGAATAAAAAGTAAAAT